ATGTCATTGCGGTTGCGAGAGGAAAGAGAGGACAGAGAGGAAAGAGAGGAAAGGGTTGACGGAATAGGCGGGGAGTAAATGGAGGAGGATGGGGACCCTTGCGGGCTGCTGACGCAAAATGTGGCGGCTACTGCGTGTCGAGTCGCTCTACTCATCTTGCTCGGCATATGCCCCTTCAACTTGAGTGTGAACTACTGACGGCCTGGCAGCTGGCAGGGGGCGAGGATGATGGTGGTGGCAGAAGTGCGGACAGCAACCTGGCAGACGGGAAGAGAGGCGCACAGAGAGCAGGATTATGGCCAGGCAGGCCAGCCGGCACCGACGACAAAGTCAGCATGCAAACCATCGAGGACTTTAGGTCTTACAATTCTTACAGTAGCTTTGCAGATGTCAGCTAGCAAAGCGTGTCTTGCTCCAGAATTGCAAGAAGGCTGCTGTGCACGTGTCGCCTGGTGGGGCTCGTCTCAGCCACGCGTTATTTGAGATTCCGCTTGGCACACGGGCGCTTCGCAGGGAATGCTCTTAAAGAGGTTCACCGAGATGCTGGTTTTCGTTTGAGTTGGGTTCCTGCACATGGCAAACATGCACATGTTCATGTTCCGACCGAGTGGAGAGAGCTTAATATGGAAGCAGATCGCCGCGCCGGCTTAGCTGCGCGTGGCGCCATGCACTTGCTGATTCTTTGGGTTGGCGAGGTAAAGAGGAAGCGGCAGCGCGCCGCAGATATCCTCAGGCTTAAGCTTGAGGTCTTTGGACCTTCACATTTTCAGCTTCTTGCAGGCGCTGGAGTTCGTTCTTGAGTTCTATATGTGGAGTGAAGACATGGTCATCTTGCTCTACCTTTCCAGATTCCATATTTCACGCGCTTCGCAGGCAAATATTTGAGGCCAAGGGGCTGGCGTTGGCAAAAGCACGTTGGCTTTGCACACTGTCCGCGAAGTCACAAGCCAGTCTGGGTGAAGAAAAGCCCAGGTGCGCTTTCGCGTCCAAGACAATCGGGGACGCAGAAGCCCCCCGTGCTTAGGATGGGGGGGAGCAGGAAAGGTAGATTAGGGATTATGTGGGTCAAGCCCCCGCGACTTAATGCCCTACAACAGGAGCAGGACATATAGGCGAGGACAAGTAGATTGCAATTTTCACTCCCCCAGCGATACGAATGTGTCAATTGTAGGATCCCACGTCTGGGTCCGCGTTTTGCAGCTACCTCGTGCAGGGCAAGCCACGCATACCCCGGCTTAATTCCGCTGGACACGGACACTGACAACTGTAGGAAAACATGTCCTGCAATTATGCACCCGCCACCACTCCTACATGTATTAAGCGCGGGAGGGTGACGCAGAGTCAGTGCGGGAACGGTGAGACGTGTGCAGGAGGAAAGCACGCCGCCGGGAGTCACAGCGAGCTGGCCCTCAGTGGGCGCTGTAAGATGACACTTAGGCAGCACGGGGTGACGCTTGCAGCAGAGGCACAGCCTTACATTTTGCAAAAAGGCCTTGATCAGAGCCTAAAGGAAGCTCTGCTGCAGCGTGCCGGGGTTGGCCTAGGCGCACCTTTTCAGATCCTGATCCCTGGGTCCAAAATGGCTTCGCTCAGTGTGCTTCAGAGAATACCTAAGCCCATTTCGGGCGCCCGATCTGCTGTGGATAGTTCTGGTCTGTTTGGGAAAGATCAGGCTCCGCGGTTCCGCTTGGCTGTCGGATTTGTCTGACAGCTCCTCCTGGAGTTTGCATGAAGGACTCCCCTTAGAAACGGGCTCTGGAACGGCCGTCTTGAAAGGCTCCGAACAAACTTAAAACCCCCTACCCAGTCCCAGAGTGAGGATAGTCGGAGAAGGGAGTGGCGACGCGCGATTGTGGTCCCGACATTCGCCGATCACGGCGTATACAGGGCCTGCAGCCATCTAGGTGGCCAGCTCGAAAAGGCATCGCAGTCGGAGCAGCCATGAACAGTTGCAACTTGGCCGCGTTGCAGGTTACATGCATGGTCTCCTCCTGCATATCTCCTACAACCTTCTCACTTGCGACGCTGGCGGATCACCTGTGATGGCTATAATTACTGTGGGAGGAGCAAGCAGGACGCAGTGTGAGCCGTCTGCTCAGGATCCGCTGAACGAATGTCAGCCCAGACCTTGGGATCGCGCAATGGCCCTTTTAAGGGTTTACTTGGAGGTTCATGGTCCTCATTAACCAATCATGACTGTGCTTGTAACTGTACTTATAACCATATTGGGGCACTTAAGGGGCTTAGAAGTGTGTTATAAGTACGGTTATAATTGAACTTGGTTAATAAGTACCATGAACCTCCAAGTAGGGCTGAGGGTTAAAAAGACATAAAAAAGGCATAAGAAGACTGCCTTCCTCTGGTGCGAAGAAAACCACAAGGGATGCTCTCTGTCTTCGCCGATGCCAGCTACGCTGGTGTCCGTTGTGTGCTCTTGCATTCTTACTGCATTCCAACACCTCAAAGAAACCATATGTGGCCTGGTTTCTTCCGACCTACTGTTCGCTCTTAGAGTATGCAGCCAAGACACTGAATCCGAGAGTGTGGAAGCCCCGCGGGGTGCAGCCTGTAGGTAGACTGAAAATCTTTGTTGAGGATGAATTCAGTACTGGCTTGCCTGCCTTCGGTCAGGGGCGAAGTTCTCTCAAGCACCTTTCCAAGCAGTAAGCACCGTCAAAACAAGACAAGGCGGCGCGCTCATCAAGTTTCTTCCGCTACCGTACTACTACCTGATTTTGCTTGCCTGTCTTCCACCATCTTCTCCGCAAGCAGCATGAATGGCATGTTGCATCGCTGTGAAATGAGGCGGCATCACGGGCCAACCAACATTTGCACACTACTCCAGTTACTCCAGTACTTGAACTTCAGTTGCCGATGGCTCACAGTTGGCACCATTAGCCTACCTGCGTATGCGAATGATTGTGAATCATGCCAGGATGGAAGCGTTTCTGTCGACTCTGGGCTGGCTAATGCTTTCGGGCCCTAGGCGCTAGTCATATGAATTGCTTGATGTACTCAGGGCGCGGCAGCGATTTTGGTGCATGTCGGAACTCAATTTGGATATGACTCTCCCTTCCTCCTGCGTGCCTATTACCGATGTGGTCCCTTCCACTGATAATAAAGTCTCCCCCTAGGCTTCCCTGCCCCCCTAATCTGTAGAGATTTTAAAGTCCAGAGACTCCGATATCCTTTAATTAAGGAATTTTCCTTAAATTACGATGGGGTTTAAGGCATATTCCTTAATTAAGGAGTATTGGAGCCTCTGGGAAGGAGCCCGACTGCCGGATCGCTTTGTGGGGCCAGGGATTTTTTTGTACTAGGGGTGGCAGGAAGGGTGGCCCATTTGGGCTTGAGTCAGCTGTGGAGCCTTCTGGAGCCGGAAGCACAATTAGTTGAGAGCTCTGGAGAGATAAGCAAAAATGAGTGAGATGAGGGTATAATCGCAGGGAGATGATAGGGATGATGTAAGAATTGCAAGAGCGAGAGCTGTGGAGCGAGAGCTGTGGAGATGATAGCAACATATAGCAGCCCTTATCCGCCGACCCCCTTTGTCGGCGTCAAGACGCTGGACTCGTACCTTTCCCGCTGGACCCGCTGGTGCCCTTCCCCATGGACCCGCGCGGCTTGCTTCCTACCTGGATGGAACCACGCGTATTGTAACCCACCTCCATACTCCAACGTTTTGTGACCCATTTCCCTACCCGGCCCCGCCCTCCCCGCCCGCCCTTGCCCTTCTCTTCGCGGCCCCTTCCCCCCCCCGCCCTACCCAAAACAACCGAATTTGTTGTTTTGGCGCGTTTTTGTGTTGCCTCCCCCCCCCCCCCACCCCCCCCCACCCCCCCCCCCCCTCTACCCCCTCCCCTCCCCCCCCTCCCCCTCCTTCCCAACCCCCGCCCCCTACCCCGCCTGCCTAGCCGGCCCCCTCCACAGGAGAAGGACCAAAAACAACCAAATTTGTTGTTTTGGAAAGTAGATGGAACCGCACGTTTTGTGTACCCCTCACCCTACGCCCCCCCCAACCCCCCCCCCACCCCCCTACCTGCCCCCCTACCCCCCCCCCAACCTTATCCTTTTCCCTACCCCCTCCAACCCCCGTCTGCCCTCAACGGGCGTTTGTTGTTTTTAGGGTTCGCTGCCCCCTCCCCCCCCCCAACCCCCCCCCCCATACCCCCCCCCACCCTCCCCCCCCCCCCCCCCCAAACCCCCCTTCCCCTACCCCCCATACCCCCAACCCCCCCCCCACCTTTTGCCCTACCCCCCCTACCCCCCCCCCCACCCCCCCCCACCCCCCCCACCCCCCCCAACCCCCCCCAACCCCCTTCTCCCAACGAATTTGTTGTTTTGGAAGGCGGTCAAGCAGATGGAACCATACTTCATCCGCAGCGCTTACCTCGGGGGTCGGCGGCAGCGGCGTCAGCCTTTAAATCGGGCAGCGCGAGGTCCCCAAAGGACCGAGCAAATGCGGACCTTTTAGCCCGGGTCGTCCCGGGAATAGCCTTGCTGGCCTCTGGCCTTCTGCGAAGCAGAATTAGGCCGGACGCCAGTGCCGCCGACCCCCGCGTGCCGCCGGTGAACGGTTTTTTTTTCGTGGTTTTTTGCGTCGCCACGGAGGCCCCCAGAGGGCGCGCATCATGAGCATCAGCGGGTCCAGCCCGGGACCCCCAGGCGCGCATCAGGAGCATCAGCGGCTCCCGGGGCGGGACCCCGGGGGCGCATCAGGAGCATGATGCCCCCCAAAGGGCGGGCATAAGCGACGTGTCTAAGCCTGGGGCAGGAAAAAGGGAGTTTAGGGGCCTTATAAAGTGCTTAGAAACTTTAAGGGAGTCTAGGAGCCTCAAACGCTTAGAGATTTGAAGGGAGTTTAGGGGCCTGAAAATGCTTGGAAACTTTGAGAGGGTTGAGGAACGCTTAGAGATTTTAAGGGAGTTTAGGGGTCAAAATGCTTAGAAACTGCTCGCCCCGCGCTTCTGCCTGCGCTGCCCGCCCATGGGCGCAGCCCCTTAAAATAATTTTTCGACAGCAAGACATACCTCAGTTGGGCTCTCAAAAAGACACTTCTGAAGAAAGTGGCTTCTTTTCTGCTGGAGAGCGCGCTCAATATAAGCCAATGACCTGCAGCAGCACGCAGAATCTCGCCAGCACACTGCATCAAAGAAGAGGGACGCTTCGGCACTGTGCAAGTGCCCAGCCTTCCACCAGACAGAGCCCACGCCAACCTTTGCCGCTCGTGCTTGAAACGGAAGGCTCTCGTCCAACTGTTGAGTGCTGAGGACACGCGCCCACACGATCATGTTAAAGAGAATGAAGATCAAGCCCAGCCTTTCAGACGAATCGAAGCAACGATGCACATGTTCTACTGTGTTGTGCTCGTGAGGTTGCGGAGGCATCGGACCTGTACCAGTCCTTCAGAGTCACGTAGTTGCCGCCGAAGAAGACAGGAGCCTCCAAGACTGTGCTTCTCTACGTGCATCGATGCTGACTCGGTTACACATCTTCTTGACTCAAACAGGCCTGGGCGGAGGCGTAGGGCGTCAGGGACGCAAAGATGTTCGAAGCAAACGCCAGCCTCAAGCTCTCTACTACGGCAACATGAAGCCGAAGGCGAAAGCCAAGCGCACTCCTTGCTTCTTCCTCGGGGCTAAACGAAAACACCGCAACCATTGGTGGCGTCCCGGTATCCACCTCTGGCTTCGACACGGCATCTACTCATTGCTGAAGAACCCCCCAAAAAAATCTTCCTTATTCAGCTTAATATGAGGATTATTATTTTTTGATTCCTTTGGGGTTCTTAAAAAAGCTTCCTTATTCAGCTTAATATGGGGATTATTATCTTTTCTTAAGCAAATAGTAGGAATGCGATGCCACGAGGACTCAGCATCGCGGAGGTTTGAGGGGCTGACCATCATCGCGATGAAGGGCAGGTACAGGGCACTGAGGTGTGCCACCTTGTCAGAACCCTAAACCCTAAACCCTAAACCCTAAACACTACAACTTCTATTACCGTCTATATGTAAGAACATACTCATGCATGTCCAGCATGTGCATATATGGGATGTGCGATGACCCAACTCAGATTTCAGCACGTGCAAGAGGTAGCTCACGCAACAACAAGTGTGCTATGTGTGAGGACAGTATTCTCCTCACATGGTTGCCTGCGAGGGAAAGAAGTAGTGGGAAAGAACGTAGACCACCAGCAAGACCAGGAAAGCCGGACCTGCCAACGCTGAAAGATTCAGGTACCAGAGTCTTAAGCCCTAAGCCGTCCTGAGACCCCAACGAACCATGACGTTCGGATTCAGGGCTTAGGGCTTAGGGTTCAGCATGTTGTGGCTGGTGGCTTTGAGTACCAGGTGCCCCACAGCCCGACAGCCCGACCGCGGAGATCTTGGCAGCTATGGATGCTGCCAACCACCTGAACGCAAGACGTGGACCAACTTGGGCCAGCGTCTTCAAGTCTAGGGTTTAGGGTTTAGGGTTTAGGGAAAAGGGTTTAGGGTTTAGGGTTTGGGGTTTGGGGTTTGGGGTTTGGGGTTTGGGGTTTGGCGTTTAAAGTCTGTTAACAATACTCGGACAAGCGCTGCAACACGGCTGGGCCCATGCTGGCCACAATGCGCACGAATGCGCGGCCTGACAATGCCTAGCTTGTTCAACATTGCGCTCATGCTGACGAGGATGGCGAACCATGTCACTGTGGTCCACGCGGCCTACCACAAATTCTGTAAATCTGCAACTGCATGGCTGCCATATTTTGGACATGTGTCTGTGTGATGTGCCTTCTCACCAGCGCAGTCGTCCCAGGTCAGCACACCAGAAACCAGCAACACCTTGCATGAAAGAGCAAGAAGCACTGCTAACCCTAAACCCTAAACCCTAAACCCTGAACCCTAAACACTAAACCCTAAACCCGGGAGACAGGCTGGTCCGGGACAGACTTTCAACACACGCCAGCTGCTGAGTTCAGCGCTGCAAGCCCTAGCACTGCGGTGTGCACAGCCGGAATCCTTCGAGACTTCAGGTGGCCAGAGAAGTCCACGTGAAAGCACTCAACTTATCACAGCAGGCCGTCCCGAAAGCAGACGATCCGGCCCAAAGGACAATCATTCCCATGACGACACCCGCCAGAATGGCCTCAGACAAAAGCCCCAGCCACGTTCTTGTGTGTTTGTTCGTGTTTTGCGTGGGCAAAAAAGAGTCGCCTCCTTCATGCTGAAGGGGCCCATCCTCAGAGCACGACCCTACGAGACTCTCACCCTCCGAAATCAGGAAGAAGGGCTCTAGGGTTTAGGGTTTAGGGTTTAGGGTTTCGGGTTTAGGGTTTAGGGTTTAGGGTTTAGGGCCAAGTCCGCAGCTGCTTCAGCTTCCGCTCGGCCTCTTTGGGCGCATCCGGGGTTTCTTTCACCTGGCAGCGATGCCATGCGAGGCCTGGAATCCTTTTAGGGCTTAGGGCTTAGGGCTTAGGGTTTAGGGTTTAGGGTTTAGGGTTTAGGGGTCTTCGCTTCTCTCTTATGACTCTCGGAGTCTCGAAGTGTGCCGAAGTTGCTTCGGGCGGCAAGGCCCAGAATGCAACCAGCGGCGTCAGTGCCTCGTGTCTCCAAAGTGCACCATGGAAACTCATGGAATGCAGCGCAGGAGCGAGAATGCAAAGGGGTTTCTCAAAACTTCTAGGATGCACAAATACATCACGGATTGATAAGCTGCATACTTCATGCTGGTTAATGTTCTTTAATGTGGGTGTTTACGATATTCGGGATACAAGTACCCCATTGGGGTCCTGCCCCCTGTTGTCCTAAACCCCCCTATGCCGTTTGATGCCGTATGATGCTTTGCAGGTGGTAAGCACCAGACCATGGCCGTCAAGGCGGGAACGCAGCTGGCCTGTCAACTCGCCGAGATTCAGCCCTGCTCTGGTTGAAACTAATCTCAATCTCTCTTGCCTTTAACCAGCTGGTGAACGGAGATTCGACCACGTATCCCAGCTGTGCAGCAAGCCTCAGATGATGATGGTGATGATGATGATGATAATGATGATGATAATGATGATGATAATGATGATGATAATGATGATGATAATGATGATGATCACAACTTGTCCTCTTGCTGCCTGTGGTCAACCAACTGGCTCAAGTCACTCAAGTCCACATGAAGTCCAAAGGATATTCTCTTCAGTTCTTGCGTGTTTGACGGCCGAGCAGCCTCAAAGTGAGCAGATTTTGGGCCGCGCCATAGAGCCACAAACTCGACGAATTACCGGTTGCCTCCAGCTGCCGACAGCTAAGAAATGATGTAGCACCCGCAAAGAAGTTAATGCCGAACCAAGTGGGTTATTCTACAGCGTCTATGTAGCTCACAGCCTGGTTCCCGTCTTGACTCCTTATGTTACTGTAGTTGTAAGCGATCAAAACAGCCCACAAAGTATAGGGGCCTGTTAGTCAAGTAGTAGTTTGCGTTTCGTACTCAACTCGTTACAACTCTGATAATTTCTGCTTATGCCTGCCCCCGCTATCTTACTTCTGATCGTCCGTTGCCACGTTAAGCAAGGCGTTAAGCAAGGCGTTAAGCAAGGCGTTAAGCAAGGCGTTAAGCAAGGCGTTAAGCAAGGCATGAAGCAAGGTGTTCAGCAAGGCGTTTAGCAAGGCGTGCAGCGTGCCTGAAAAGCAGACTGTACCAGGAAGCCACCTGTGGCTTTGGCCTTAGTCAGGTGCTTGTCGGCCAGTTTGCGCGCAGACCTCTCAAAAACGCTCCTTCTGCACACACAGTACCAAAACAATGTTAGTACCTGCTGGCGCTACTTGCTGACTGCAACTTATCCCTTGCCCCAGAGCGCCATTTTCACGATCAGCGTAGGGCACAGTCTGAAGCCATAGCCATGGCCGACTCCAGAAGCACGGTGATTTCATTATCGCAGCGCTGCCGGATTCGCACTTTGTCGAGGGCAGTGGATCCAAATCCTCGATTGGGTTAGCTGTTGGTTAGCAGGGAATGCGGGAACTAGGGCCCCTATATATATATATGTATATATATATATACACATATATATGCCCCTTTAAAGGGATGACATAGGGTACCTCATTCCCCTACTAACCAACAGTAAGCGATTGGGTCAGCTGTCACATCGTCCTACAGGTAGACTCCTGAAGGACTTCCACCTCCGGGTTCTTGGGAAGTAGGTGCTTCTATCCCCTACCCAACCTTAGTTGTCCAGTACCTAGGGGTTTTAAAGGTTAACCTTTGGGATTATAAGGGGAATATATTAACCCAAAAAGGTTAAAGGTTACCTACTCTACTACTAAGACCCAACTCTTCTGAGGGACTACGGATACGTGACTTCGCGCGACTGACACGGCCATGGAGCTATTCTGGCACCATGGGTCGGCGTCTAAGAACCTGAGAGCTGAAAAGCTGAAGCACAATTTGCCGCAAACTCGTTCACAAGATACAGACGAAAAGAAAGATTTGTTATATTTATTGATTATATTTATTCATCTATTGCAAATATGAGATGGCTAGTAATCTAATTCGCTATTGTGGTTTATTGTTAGTATTATGAATTTTGCTACTAGCAATACTGAGAGTTGTCACGCAAGAGCCCGTGGCGATGCACTGTGGCAATTGGGCCGAGGTGCAGCAGCAGCTCGACGCAGCGGGGAGATCTTCCCAGGACCGCTGCGCGCATCAAGGGCGTGTCGCCACGGTGGTTTGGGGAGTTTATATACCTGGGTTGTGCTTAAAAAAACCTTTTGAAAAAACTTTTTATGAATAGGCTCGCCATAAAAAGGAAAGAAGGGAAATCACAAAAAAAAATCCCAAAGCACAACCCAGCTACTCTCGTGGTACCAAGTGCGCCAGAGCTTGGAGAACCTGGGCCGAGCCACCGCCAGCTGCAGCATGGATGATGTTCTCCCCGTGCACGTTCCACACATCCGTGGGTACTCCATCGCGGCTGCGCAAGAGAAAGTCCATGGCCTTCTCTCTCATAATTAAGAATGTAGCAATTTAGAGTCATCTTGGAAAATAGCAAAATAAGATTATCAGAGTACAGTCGTATGACAATCTATCAACCACCCCCCAAACCCTAAACCCTAAACCCTAAACCCTAAACCCTAAACCCTCATATTAACATAGTAATAGAAGGGCCTCTGAGGAGCCCTGCCGTGCCGCAGCAGCAAGCACGCAGGACCCATCCGCATCCAAGGCGTGCACGTTTGCCCTGACGGGCAAGTTGGCATCACTTCTTGCTTCTACTTGCCAAACCCGCCCGCCCCCCCCCCCCCCCCCTCCCCCCCCCCCCCCCCCCCCCTCCCCCCCCCCCCCCCCCCCCCTCCCCCCCCCCTCCCCCCCCCCCCCCCCCTCCCCCCCCCCTCCCCCCCCCTCCCCCCCCCCTCCCCCCCCCCCCCCCCCCTCCCCCCCCCCTCCCCCCCCCCTCCTCCCCCCCCCCTCCCCCCCCCCTCCCCCCCCCCCCCCCCCCCCCCCCCTCCCCCCCCCCCCCGTCCCCCCCCCCCCCCCCCCCCCCCCAAAAAAAAAAACAAGTCTGGGTTGGGCTTTACAAACCCTGTGAGAATTGGTTGTGAATAGGTTCCCTTATAAGGAAAGAAGGGTAATTAAAAACTATCCCAAAGCAGCTAAAGCACAGCCAGAAATAATATGGATCCCCATACAACCCTTGTAAGGAAGAATAGTAGTTCAGAGCTAGGAACACTTCATCACTAAGGTTCGACATAGGAAGCTGTTCGCATGGAAACGCTGGTCTCTTGAGGTCCCATGCCCGTCCTGTGTCTCAGCAGGACCTTGAGAGCCATCACGTCGTTTGCACCCGCGGCTGCGTGCAGCAACGGCCTCCCAGCGAAAGTTCCAGACGGCGCCCGGGCACATGCAGGGATCGCGCCTGCAGGCAGGATGGAAGATAGGAGCTGTGGCAGCTAGCTAGCAGCTACGGCTAGCATCTGAGAGTTTAGGGTTTAGGGTTTAGGGTTTAGGGTTTAGGGTTTAGGGTTTAGGGTTTAGGGTTTAGGGTTTAGGGTTTAGGGTTTAGGGTTTAGGGTTGGAAGTCACTGGCCCGCACTTTTTTCTAATCCTCCGAAAATGCCCTCCTTGCTGGCCAAGTACCTGACTCGAGCTCTGAAGACACATCCCGCCAAGCCGCCCAAAGCTCGCGGACCTGCCTTATAGCACATCATTAAATACCTTAAGAACCCAAAACCCACTTTTTTGTAGGTTCTTATTATCAAAGCCCCTTATAGGATTCTTAGGTAACCTACAAAAAAAAAGTAGGTTTTGGGGCCTTAAGGTACCAGCAAACACAACTCAACAGCTACATTCACTCGTTCTGTCATCCGGGCATGGTTTGGCTTAAGCAAGAGTACTCTTGATCTCGGACCCCCAGCAGAACTTGAATCCGAAATGGCTCGGTGAGGGGGTCTGTTCAAAACTTGTTGCTTGGGGAAGCTGGGCCTTGAACCATGAAACAAACCCGAAGCCCTGAAACAGTGCACTCGGACACTGCGCGCAACATCCTCGACCCTCAGCCCCGAAACCGATGGTCCTCTGTGCTCACAGCTGCTTGGCCCTCGTGCGACTGAAAAACGGGTGCTCTCTCTCCCTCTCTCTCTCTTGCTCACTCTCTTGCTCACTCTCTTGCTCACTCTCTTTCTTTCTTGCGTGGGGCAAGAGAGCGAACCCCCGGGTGTCGTCGCCCGCCCCCGTGCTCGCTCTCTCTCTCTCTCTCTCTCTCTCTCTCTCGCTCTCTGGCTCTCTCTGGTCTTCCAGAGCCCAGTTTTTAGTTTAGTTTTCAGGGATCACGAGATACTTTCAAATAATCTGTCCCGACAACAGGTCACGCCATTCCAGGGTACCAGTACCTTCTGCTATTCCGTGCCGGCAACACTTCGCATTCTTCCGAGGCACACTGCTTTTTGAGAGGTCCGCATAAACTACTATTTGCTAAAACCCCCCAAAAAGCAATCCTATTGCCCTTATTATCAGGAGGATTGTGCTTTTCTTGTTTGTCATTTTTTACTTTTTTTTTTTTTGGGGGGGGGGGGTTCGTAAGCAATCAGTAGATAAAGAGCTGCTGTCATTCAACAGAGCTGCTGGCGAGCTCGCAAGATGCGAGGAGACAGCGCTGCGTGGGCACTGTGGCACCAGGCGCTCGCCTACGGGTTAGGGTTTATAGGGTTTATAGCGTTCATGGGGTTCATGGGATTTATAGGGTTTATAGGGTTTGTGGGGTTATTGTAGGGTTTACAGGGTTTGTAGGGTTACGATGTCGGCCCTCAACAACTCTCAACTCTCCAGCACCTGTATCCCAAGCCCCATTTCGTTTAGGGTTTGGGGTTTGGGGTTGGGGTTTGGGGTTTGGGGTTTTGGGGTTTAGGGTTTAGGGTCTGGGGTTTAGGGTTTAGGGTGTAGGGTTTGGGGTTTAGAGAGACGAAAAGACATGGCCACTCAAAATTATGGTCCCCTTTGGGGTCCTTGTCACAAGGCGGTCCCTTTTTTTTAGGGTACCCAAAAAAGGGACCATCATTTTGAGAACAATCCAAACCCGAAACGCTGAACCCCTGAACCCCTGAACCCCTGAACCCCTGAACCCCTGAACCCCTGAACCCCTGAACCCCTGAACCCCTGAACCCCTGAACCCCTGAACCCCCAAACCCCTACACCCCTAAGAAACCCCCAAACCCCCCAAAACTCCTACACCCTTCAGGCCCTGAACCCCCCATGACCTGGGCTGCACATGCCCATGGAACAGTCGACGCCACGCGCCCCAGCACGGCATCCGGGAGTCTCAAACGACATCTCGAGCCTGTGGGGGGGGGGGGGGGGGCGAAGTCCAGCTGCCGGCTTTGAATCCGGGTCTAGGGTTTAGGGTTTAGGGTTTGGGGTTGAGGTTTGGGGTAGCAATCTGAAGCCATGTGCACGTGCTTGACTGGCCTGCTTGATCCCAGCTGACCTGGCCAGCTTCCTGAGAGGTGTCAACCTCCTGGGACTCGGGCGCGGCAGCCACCCGCCTCGATCTTGCACTTGTGAGGAGCTCCAGTGCACGCACTGGGGTAAGTTTGGGGGGCCCCATGAAAATTAACAATCTTTATGGCTGCATAAGGATTATTATAGGGGATCAAGGGCAATAGCAACTAAAAAATATCTTCAAACCTACCCCTGTACAGGTTTGAGGATGAACCGAGGCGCCGCAGCAACGGAAAGCTGACGTCGGGAGCAGCCATCGGGATTCGGAGCGCCTCCACTTGACAACCCAGCTCATTAGGGTTTAGGGTTTAGGGTTTAGGGTTTAGGGAAATCCCCAAACCCATACACCCATACAGAAAAAACCCCTAAACCCTACCTTGCCTGCGGGGCTGCATTGACCCTCTCAACCTCCTCTCGCTGCTCTTTGCTTGCCATTTGCGCAATTCGCATGGCAGCCACAGCACCGCTCTCTGCTAAGGACTGGTGGGATGACGCCAGCGCACTGGACGATCCTGTCAGCAGCGGCCCCCCGAATTCGGCCTGATTGCAAAACCATCTAAACTGCTCTGAGCCACCTAACCCCCAAGCCCAGTGCAGTAAGTGCTGCATTTAGAGCTGTACACCTACGAGTAGAATCCTAAACCCTAAACCCTAAACCCCAAATCCTAAACCTTTAGAAATCTTACACTTCCTTTAATCCCTTCCCCCTTTTATTAAACCCCCCCATTA